TTCTCTGTGGGAGCTCCCACCCTCTGGAACGAACTGCCCCCAGAGATCAGGGTGATCCCTGATCTCCCTTCCTTCCGCCGCGCCCTCAAGACGTGGTTGTTCCAGCTTGCGGGACTGGCCTAAGGGATTTTAAAGGGGTTTTAATTACTTTTAATCTGATGAGTTTAAATATTTCTTTTTAATCAATTTTAATAGGTGTGTAATATGTCTGTATTTTATCCAATTGTTAGCCGCCTTGAGTCCGCAAGGAGAAGGGCGGGATATAAATGTAATTAATAAATAAATAAATAAATAAATATAATGTCAAGCTGAACTCTTCCTTCCTTTATTTATGCAGCACCATAGCTCTCCATTAAAATCATGCTAGTTTGCACTTTTTCTCACTTGCTCTGAAATGATTGGCCATACTTTTCCATAATCCATCTTGAATTGGCCAACAGGTTCTTTATTCCATCAATAAGAGGAACACAACTTAGCAAGGATCTTTGAAAAACTGAACCACTAACTCCTTCAGTTGAGACAGAGAAAAGGAAATAGATACATTGTAATATGCCAGTGGTAGTCAACCTGGTCCCTACCGCCCACTAGTGGGCGTTCCAGCTTTCATGGTGGGCGGTAGGGGTTTTGTCTGATACTGAAGCACTTTCCTTTTTTTAATTTAATTGACTTTTTAAAAATTTTCATAGCATTATTTAAAAACATTTTCATTAGGTTTTCATGAAATTCCACGTGACAATTTAAATTTCTGAAAATATACTATTTGTATCACCCTCGCATAAGTTTAGTTCACATTACATAATTGAAATTAAATGGTGCTATATTGCGACCGCAAACAAAAGAGCCTCGTCTCAGAATAGCTCGCGCATCTCCCCCCACACCACCCAGCTGTAACAGACAAGCAGAGCTGGTAGCCGGCGCCCCCCCAAACCTAATCCACGATGCGCGAGAGGCATGCGCAGATGATACACAGTGCAGGCTCTTTTGTTTGCAGTCGCACTGGTCAGTACGCAGTTAGATTTGTGAGAGTGAGCACGTGCCTACAGCTTCAAACAAAATATTGTGAGTCCATGTCTCAAAAAAAGAAATACGCTCATGGCTATTTGCCAGAGTATCTGAAGATGGGTTTCATAGAATCTGTTGTAAATAAACAACATCCAATGTGTTTATTGTGTCATAAAACATTATCCAA